GGTGCAGTGTCACTGGCCCCCATGTGGGATCGGAACTGGGGCCCTGCTGCTCAGAGTTGGAGTCTACGCCAGCTCTTAACCAACGTGCCACTCGTCCAGCCCTTCTCTTTTTTTTCTGATCAGTTTTTGGCCTCATGATCCTTTTTTGTTGAATATTTGTTTTACGTTTCATTCATTTATGCTTTCCTCTTTTAGTTCCTTCCTTCAAATATCTTTGTTTTATTCTGTTGTTCTCTTTCTAACTTGTTGCTTTGTTCATTGACATTTTTACTTTTTGCTCCTTCCTCATAATATAATTGAATTAAAGTTATAAATTTACATCAAAGAACCACTTTTGCTGCCTCCCCATAGTTTTGATAATAGTGTTTTCATTATAATTCAGTTTTAAGTATTTAAAAATTTTTATTGTGATTTCTTTTTGAATTGTTGAATTTAAAAAAATTTTTTGATGCTGATATTTAATAGTCTTAAGTCAGAAAAGCATTTGCAACCCTTATACATTGCTGGTGGGAAGGTAAAAAATGGTGCAGTCACTTTGGAAGACAATCTGGTAATTCCTCAAAATGTTAAACATAGACAGCTATTCTACTCTTACATATATACCCAAGAAAAATGATAAGCAGTGTTCACATAAAAGCTTATGCATGAATGTTCATAGCAGCATTATTTGGCTGTTCATAATAGCCCTAAAGTGGAAGCAACTCAAATGTCCATAACTGATGAATGGAAAAATAAAATGTGATATATACATACAATGGGATATTATTTGGCAATAAAAAAGAATTAGATACTGATACATGCAACATTATCCTGAGTGAAAGAAGTCAGTCACAAAAGACCACAGAGTGTATGATTCCATGTATTTAAAATATTCAGAATACAGAAATCTATTGAGACAGAAATTAGACAGATCAGTGTGTCCCAGGACTGGAGGGATTGGAGGGTTTGAAGGATAAGAACGAAACGGTTTGGAGATTCTTTCTGGAGTAATGAAAATATTCCAAAATTGATTGTGATGATGATTGCCCAACTCTGTGAATATACTAAAAGCCACTGAATTACACATTTTAAATGGGTGGATTGTATCGTGTGTGAAGTTTATCTCAATAAAGCTGTTATCAAAGAAGAAAGCATTTCCTGCTGAAATTGCTAATAAATTATATTAGCTCTAAACTATTTAGTTTCAATTTATATGTGCCGATTCTTATTCTCTCTCCTCCCTCTCTCCTTCCCTCTGCATCCCCTTCTCTTTCTCCCCCTTCTCTCTCTGTCATTGGAAATGTTCAATAACAAAGTTTAACTTATTTATTTAAAAGGATCGATTTAATGAAAATTAATGGAGAGCATTGACATGAACATAATTTTCCAATTCCCACCCTCATATGTAATTGCATACAAGCAGACTAAGATGACACAACCTTGAGAATATGTCAGTACTTGCTCACCAGCCCATAAGGCTTAAACTGTATAATTTTGAGAAAGCAGGATTCTGAAACAATGTAAGTGCAGTGAATGTCGGAGCAAGTAGACCCTATATAACATACCTCAGAAAATACTATAGATAAATGGTCTTTAAGAGATAATTTCTGGCATGTGCCACAGGGGAAAAGGGTATCAAATGTACACAATTACTAGGTTCTATGCAGTGGCTCCTCTGTGGAGAATATCACTTTATTCTCTGTGCCAGAGACCTTGACCCCACCCTGTCTGTGAAGTAGGAGCCTGCTTTGTAAAGGGGCGCCGATCAAGATGACGGCCATTATCAAGCTGGGATCCAAACATCTGAAGCTTATAACCAAGCACAATGGTGAAGGCTTCTTATCCACGTTTCTAATTATATATATTTTTTTCTGCTTTTGAGATAAAGGGACAAAGAAATGTGAGACTTACTTTTCAGGTTTTTCAGGCTGCTCTGAAGTGTTCCCTTTAAGGTGGAGGGATGTAGTTTTGTTTAATAGCGGTGCTGTGAACAGGGTGTGTTCTTCCTGTGTACAATAGCATGCCGATGGCAGAGATGCATTAGGAGCTGAAATAATTCATTTGTTATTGCTAATGAATAGTAATAATTTATAATTTATACTAATCAAAAACCTTTCATCCACAAAAACCAACAAGCTTTACACACATTATCCTCTCTCCAACCTCTGAAATAAGCGTCTGGCAAGTACAATTATCCCTAATTTGCAGAAGGACCAAGATAGAGAACATAGTACAGAAATAGTGACTGATGTATCTGCAGCTTCAAATTTATATTTTGAAAGTCACTTTGAACTTATTTTCATTATTTATTTTTGGTGGTCAAGGAAGATAATTTATACTAACCTACATCATGGATATCAATCAAGTGAAAACTAGAAAATTCATTTATCCAGATGTTTTTCGATGTTAACAAACGTGGAGAAGCTCCTAGTTGCCAGCACCGTTGCCATGTGGGGGATAGATGGCTATTCTGTGCCCCTTTGGTGTCCAGCTCAAGGGTCTCTGCCGTCCCAGGTGATAGAAGCAGCCATGGTGACACTGTGCTTGGGGCAAAGCCTTGAGCACATTCTACCTTGTTCTGTGATCAGTGGGTGATAGAGATGCGGATGAAGGTAAACCCAGGAGAGTGGGGATGCCCTTTAATCACTATCTGTGCCTCCAGGCCCATCACCGCCAAAGCAGCCCACAGAGGGCTGCGAAGGTAATCTTGAAGTAATACTGCTCTCATCAACTCGCTTGCTTGCTACCAGATCTGTATTCGTGATCCTGGAACTCAGGGTTCTCCATGAAAAGCATAGAACAGCAGATTGCTTCCAATTCCTCTCTATAGTTGGTTGAGGAGAGGACTTGGATATAATTTAACTGACCTCCTCCTGCGCCCACCTTTGCCAAAAATAAATAAATAAGTAAAAATTGAGCTCAACGCTGACCTATAGAAAATACACTGAGTTTGCAGATTGGTTTTGAAGACAAAGGGTGGGAGAATTCCATTCTTAGTTTTCTGGGAACTTCCTTAAACTCAGCCCAGAACACTTCTCCCTGAAAGTCCAGCCAGTTCAAATGATAGATGCAGACACGTTGTATGTACATAGGTACATACCTTGTATGTTGTGTGAGCGTGGACACACACATACACACACCACACACACACACACACACACACACACACACACACAGAGCTCTCTCTTTATTTGGAAAGGTTTCTTACAGGAGTTTTTATTCTGACAGAGCATGTGAGATGCATCCAGACATTCCCTTTGGTTCCAGTGACACACAGTGAATCCCACATTTTGTCATATAGAAATGGCACATCCTTCTCAGCTAACTTCAGAGCCGTCTCCNGTTCATGTTCGCTTGCTCTTGTTGCTGTGATGTATTGGACAGAATTCTGGACAGGAAGCCTGGAGGTATTTTTTTCAAGTTATGGCACAGAAATTCACTAACTATGTGACCTTGGGCAAATTTAAATATGTATCTCAGTTTTCCTATTTGAAAAAATAGGGATTTCTACCTTCCCGGCCTACACCATTGGATAGTTGGGAGACTTAAGGTGAGATGACCAACATATGAGAAACACTTTTGCAAACTAAGGTGCAAGTTCAGGGCATTCCCAAAACCACTGTGAGGTTTGATCATTTGCTAGAAGGACTCACAGAATTCAGCGAGAGCTGTTATCCTCATAGTTAGTTTATTACAGGGAAAGGGTACAGATCAAAATAAGTCAAAGGAAGAGGCGCATAGAGCAGAATCTGAAATGGTTCTAATGCAAAGCTTCTGTGTCATCTCCCATACAGTTAGGATGTGTCACCCTCCTGACATCCATATGTGACAGTATGCAAAGAGTATTGCCAACCAGGAAGTTTCTCCGAACCTTGGTGTCTAGAGTTTTCATTGGGGCTTCATTACAAAAGCATGACTGATTGATTGTCCATGGTTGAACTTAATCTCTAGGACAACTGTGTTACCAAAGCCCCCACCCTGTAGCCACACAATTGGTCTTTCTGGCATAGCCAGCCCTGCCCCTATCTCTGTTGGGTATGGCCAACTCTACCCTAGACTGTTGGTGTGGCCAGCCCCAGCCTAAAGAAGGTCTCTCCAATCAGGTATGAATGATATAGATTACCTTCCAGAGACCAAAGCAAAGGCCACATATCTGTTTGGGCAAGGCTAAATTCTTGAGTACACATAAGGTGACTGAAAAGAGATGGGAAACAAATTTAAATATGGAGATGCTATTAGTATGGAGGGGTCTATTATTTACCATGTTCTAACACTGTAAAATAAGTATGGGCATGATTCCCATAGGTACACAAAATACTGCAGATACACACTTTGCTAATCCACAGAACCTGGGGGACCGCCTTTAAGAAGGGGTGCGGGTGCCAGAGAGAGACATTTGCCACAGTAGTCGTTTACCACAGAGACAAATTAGGCTGAGAAAGCACTTTCCGCCCCACTGGGTGTCTGAACCTGACCTGTGCCTCAATGTTAACAGCACAGCAAATTGTCCCTCCATTAACGAATTTATCTAACGTGAACAAGTTATAAGTCTGCTTTTTACAGATTTCTGTATCTGGCACCATCTCACTCTGTATGGCAGCTGAGCTTACTACATATAGCGTGGGGTGATGATAAAAATAAATTGTTTCACTCCGCTTTGCAGAGTTTCAGAAAATCTTGAGCACTCTATCAGAGTGGATCCATAATATTTCATACAGTGAGGTTGGAAAAACGAAAACCCGAGTTTGTTTTCTCATGAAATTAAAAAAAAAAATAAATTAGAGCACAATGGAGAAGTTATCAGCCGCAGGAAGCTTGCTAGAGGACAACTGTATGACTTTATGGAAAAAGAACCAGTGACAGACTTAGAATGAAACCATTCGCTAAAGGACAATTATGCTCCCACCCTGCCTTCAGCGGGAAGAATTTTAGCCTTGGTCTAGTGGTTTTTTTGTTTTTTTTAAACAACAATTTGTAATAAATTGATATTGTCAATAAATTTTGGTTCTGTTTCTTTCAAGAAAAAACTGGCCACGCAGAAGTAGTTCGAGTGGTGTACCAGCCAGAACGCATCAGCTTTGAGGAACTGCTCAAGGTCTTCTGGGAGAATCATGACCCGACCCAAGGTAGATGAGTGAGCCAGTATTTAATTATCTTACTAATTACAGCTGGGATAATTAGTGTTTGAGCTGCATGGAAGAGATGAACCTTGAAATCACACAGGAGCTCAAGAATATGATTGCAGACATTTATTGACGGAGAAGAGGAGGGGCTGGGGAGAAAAAGGGGGAGAGAATAAAGGCGCAGCCACTGTCGGCACCCCTCCCCCCTTTACAGCTGTCAGGGGTGGGAAAATTCCCACAGAGAAAGACGCCAGACAATAGAGATTCGTTCACCTTTGATTATTGCATTATTCCTCCTTAATGCAGTCTTTTGTCTACAAAATTAAAGTGTCTTTCTAGCAGCTCCCAAGTTTTCCTGATTTATGGTTCCTTTATTTCCCTGAATTTAGCCTTTCTCATCTTTTGACATTATCAGGGTTGTTTTTTTTTAAATGTCTGTAAGTGATTAAAAAAGAAAAACACAGAACATAAAGGTAAAATGCAGTATTCAGTGGGTCCAAATGCTTGCGTTATTTTTTATTTTTATTTTTTTTTGGTTAACTATTTTAGAAGTATATGTGGACTTAGGTGAATTTGCTTGTGTTTTTTAAATATCTCATTTCTCTTCTTTGGAATTTGTTATATGGAGATATTAATATATTTGGACTATAAACAGTGGTGGAGAGAAATTTTATTTGAATGCACACATAAGCAAAAATCCCATGTTGGCAGATACCATTATAATATTCAATAATGGAGCAATTTCCAGATTGCATCCTAACGGCCTTACAGGCACTGCTTTGCCAGTGTGATGATCTGATATTATGAAGCTTATGAATGGAAAAGTCCTGCATAATAGATGTGATTTTTCACAAACCCCTGTTCATTTAGCAATCAGTCTATTTAACAAAAATATTTCCCTTTTGGTGTTAAGTTTTTGGGTAGCAGGTATGTCATATTGGCTGTTTCCTGATGAAGAGATGTGGTTTTTTTTCAAATGTGCATTGTGTTTTGCTGTGGAGCCTTAGTTTGACCCCAGCAGCACAGGTGGATGGGTCCTAAGTTCTGGTTCTGAGAACCACCGAATGCCAGGGTAATTTGCCGGAGGGCAAAGGTCAGAGCCAAGGCAAGAGTCACAGGATGATAAATGAGCCAGGTTAAGGCAGGCCCAGGATGCAGGCAAATCCACTAGGGTGGGTGAAGTCCAAGGAAGCAGTCCAGGGGCAGGCTTCCCGTTATAGTGAAGTCTGGTTTGACATGGAGGGGCGCGTCCCTGGTGGGAGGGCAGCTCTTCTTCCTATAGCTCTTCCTTCAATTGTGAGAGCTCTCCTTGTAGCTTTCCAAGCAATGACAACTACTAGGTATTCTCCTTTTTTTTTAAACTTCAGCTATTATAGTTTGTTGGATTTCTGTTATTTGCAACAATAAAAATCCTGACTAATCTACTTATTCGGCTTGAACAATCGTTGTGCTCATTATATTCATTCAGTAGCTGTTAGTTAACCATGTTCATTGGACTCTACAAACCAGAGGTCTAAAGCCGCTTGGTTAATAGTTTTACCACTGACACAGACATGGAATGGAGGACACTAAAAATGGTTTCTTCAAGACTTCTTAGAGGTTTGCTTAGAGGGCTCCTTGATAATTCAGAATTAAGAATTGGGGTTTAAGATTGGGGATATATGGCCTGAGAATATATCAGATCACCTCTCGATGTTCCTAAACTACTGTAAAAGACAATCAGGGCCGGCCGAGTGGCTCAGTTGGTTAAGAGCTCGCTCAAGAGTTTGAGCTCTGNTGCATGAATTGTATCTAATACTTTCCTTGGGGTAGTAGCTGTGGCCATTGTAAGACATGTGGTGAGGTTTACGTGGAACTTAGCAGTTAGGGCCAGAGGGGCAGAGCAGAGCATGTATGTTTGGTTCCATTTAGGGGATTGGTCCTCGGGTAGGTGAACAGTGCTGGGGTCAGCATGGATACTCATCTAGGCGAGGGCTCAGTAAATGGTAGAAAAATTTAGCACAAAAATGCCTCTAATCTATATGTATTTATTAATGTCAGATCGCGTGGCCAGTCCTACTGGGTAGGCCACCTCCCTGGCTCTCTCTTCTCTTCTCACCCGCACGCCGTAGCAAAAACTAATCATGCGAACATGGAAGAGTTGAAGATAACAATTTCCCTCATGAGATGGAAAGCTGCGACATAAGACTTTAAAAATTGGCTGATTTATCTTGGGGTTCTCTTTAACAACACCTGATCCTACGGATGACTTGGCTTCTACAAAGCTCTAGATGACTCCATAATGTCTGATTTCGCTGTCCCCGGAACACTGCCCAGTGTCTCTTCTGGGATGTTTTGTCTTATAAAGAGTGCGTGCCCATAATCTACCCCTGTGCGTTTGTTCATCTTCCTTTGTTGTTACTGGGTCAGGCGACACACGAAATGCCCAGGGAGGACGTTCATCCTTTCCATTTTTCCTTTCAAGATATTTTTGAGCAACAACGTGAAAGCACTTGCCATGCTGTTGTGAATTGTTAACAAGCAGGTTTGCACATCACATCTATTATGCTATTTGCACGGAGCTATGCGAAGAAACAGCTCAAAGTATTTTTAAGATACAGCCTTTTAACTCGGGAAGCACAAGGAAGTATTTGCAGATTGGTCTCGGGAATCAAATTAGCCTAACTTGTTGGTGAGTTCCTGGAGGCATTTCTGTAAGTGGTTCCTAGCCCCTTAATCCTTTTGATCATTTGCACTGTGTATTTTTACACAGGCTCTTGTACTTTGGAGAAATAAAATAAAGAAACTTAAAGGTGAGTTTGACGAGAGCTTCTCCACACTGTTTGTCCATGCAGATGGATCTTGAATTTTAATGGTAATAGTTTCTTTGAAAGAACCACACTTTTTAAAACCTCTCCACAAATAATGTCAGTGCTCAGATTATGTCGGAAAGTGCTTGCTGGTGGGTGAGTGGAAATTTTTCCTGACCCTCTGCCCCCTCCCTTATTGATGCCACAAAAGAAGAGCCTATTCCTGGAAAATAGTCCTGACAGCCCGGATGTCAATCACCCCACAGCTGTGTTTTCTCATCTGGGTTACGGCCTGTGTGACATTTGTAGTCACTTGGTGACTTTAGGCGTCTATGTTCAGGAGCCTGGCTCAGGGTCACAGAAGGAGCCCAAGCTTTACCTCTGATTAAAACCTGGTGGGCTCTTCGCAGGATCCTGCCAATTAGTGGCTGTGAGACACTGTGTGAGAAAACTTGTAGAGAGGCCTTAGTTTTCCCATCTGTAAAATGGGACCACATATAAAATTGTTGTCAGCAATATTTGTACACCCATGTTCATAGCAGCATTATTCACAATAGCCAAAGGTGCAATAGCCAAAGGTGGAAGCAACTCAAGTGTCCATTGCCAGATGAATGGATAAGCCAAATGTGATGTATACATACAATGGAATATTATTCAGCCTTGAAAAAGGAACAAAATTCTGACAGGTGCTTCAACATGGATGAACCTTGAAGACATTATGCTAAGTAACATAAGCCATTCACTAAGAAAATACTGTATGATTCCACTTATATGAAGTACCTAGTCAAATTCAAGAGACGGAAGTAGAGGGGTAGGCACCTGGGGCTGCGGGGAGGAGGGAAATGGGGAATAGTATTTAATGGATACAATTTCACTTTTGCAAGATGAAAAAAGTTCTGGAAATGGATGGTGGTGATGGTAGCACGACAATGTGAATGCACTTAGTGCCACTGAACTTTACATTTAAAGATGGTTAAAACGGTAAATTTTGTTATGTCTATTTCCCACAACAGAGAAAAATTGGGAAAAATTTTGTTGTGAGCATTGAAAAACATCAAGTAGGTAAAGTGCTTGCCATTTTGTCAGCACTCAGTAAATAGTAACAGTTTTTACTAGAGTTAGGACATTAAATTTTAATAGTTATATGATATTTCATTATATGACTATACCAAAATTTCTTTCTGCTTTTTTTTTTGCTTGATTTTGGGGGTTCTTATAATACTCTTCCATTGTAATAATAATGGAGTGAAATTTTTTTGTGTATGTATGTATCTTTTCCTTATTTGAAGTTATATCTTTGAGATAGATTTCCTGGATCACTTAGGGTGAATTAATCTTCATCTTTGTGGCTCTTGCTATGGAAGCCAATGGGGTTTCAAAAGGGTGTAGCTATTTACACTGTCTCCTCATCAGCACTAGCTACACTTTTAAGTAGTTCTGCAAAATTTAATAAGAGGTGGCATGTTAATGTTTCAATATGTGTTTATTCCTTTTATCACTAAAAATGTTGAGCATTTTCTGTCTTCATTTACATTTTTGTTTTCCTATGTACTGCCTGTTTACCTGTTTTCCCTTTATTTCTAGTGTAGTTTTTATGCCTTTCTTACCAAATATATTTGTCATGTTTGTAACATATTGTTACCATTTTTAATATTCAGAGGGTTTTAATTCTTATGTAGTTAAATCATTCCTTTAAACATTTCAAAGTACAAAACAGTAATATTTTAAAGTACATCAAAAATGGTTTTATAATAACATGATTATGATACCTGATATGCCTTCTTCCTATAATTCCCCCATCATTCTTTTCATATCTGTTAGTATGATATCTGTTTAGATGCTTAACTCATATAACTGTAGTATTTGAATTAAAATTATGTAGACTGACCAATTAATAATGCACTAGTAATTACCCAATATAAAAAGGACATCACAAAAATTAGAGCAAATTAGAAATTAAAATTATTAGTAAACATGACTTTTTTTAACTCACTTATAATTAAATTCATTGAAGATAAAATTACAGGATGCTATATTCCAGCTATTAATTGGTAATGATTAAAAACATATGGCAATTATGTAATATGTTGAGGGCCAGACTGAGATTGGCCCTCAATTATACTGCCAATGGGGAGAGAAAATTGGGTCAACTTTACTGAGTAGCAGTTCAGAACTAGGTATTAAGAAACTTAAAAATGTTTATNCCAGATCTGT